ATATATATATATATATATATATATATATATATATGACATGCGACATAAATTTGCTTGGGTGTGTTAGAAATTATTTGAAATTAGAAATTTATGCATCATATATATATATAGAAATTATATGAATATTCTCATATCGTATGTTATAATATATTTATGCATCATATGTCATATCATATCCATGCACACTAACAATATATATTATGATATTTATGTGCATTGCAAATAAGCATACCCATGCACTTCTACACAACACATCATAACATGTTCATATACTCTTTATACCATATGTGATAATATATGAATTATATCATTCATTTTCATTACAACTCATCTATTTGTAAGCTTATGCATTGCACATATTAACACCAAGTTCATAACGATCTTATCATTCAAAACATACTTTCAAACATATATTAAGCTCATAACCATTTTATCATTCAAAATATATTTTTAAATATATATTAAACTTATTATATTCTTATCTTTCAAAACATACTTTCAAACATCTATTAAGCTTATAACAATATAACCATTAAAGATATGCTTTCAAAATATATTTGACTCTACATGATAACTGTTATTTTACAATAAATTAAGTTTATACTTATATGATTTAGCTTAAAATGAGGTTTTCATTGAATAGCCATGGTTGTTAAAACATATCAAATTTGGAACATAGGATTATATTATACTTAAACTAAAAATCTTTTATTTTAAACTATTCATAACTCCCAATATAACGAATGATTTGTAGTAAACTTTTGATAAGAGTCAGACTAAAAGTATCCTCATTTGGAACATACGATTATATTATACTTAAACTAAAAATCTTTTATTTTAAATTAGTCATAACTCCCAATATAAGGAATGATTTGCAGTAAACTTTTGATAAGAGTCCTCCACCCTTCCAATTTAACTGCTATCACCTATACTGCTATGTTAAAACTGAATTAAGATTGTCTAAACTTCTACAGCTAGTGCATAGGGTTAGTTTCACTCAATTTCAAATCCTACATAATCATAAAAGAATCTTTTAAAACATCAAAATAACATAATCTAATATCTTCCCAGGAGTGAATTTATCTTGAACAAAACCTCTTTACAGAAAATAAATAAAAAATTTTGAGTTCCTCACATTGGAACACCCAAAACACTATGTATCAATATCAAATTAAAGTCATATCAAATGGTGAGAAAGATAAAGTCAAAGGTAAAAAAAAAAAAAAAGCTTATGTTGGTGAGTTGCTTTAAGAGGCATGAGTTCATTCTCACTAAACCTCCTCTAAGTTTTTTTTTTACTTCTTTTATTTTAGATTCTTAAAATAATTTCAGTGTTGTAGCAATTAACGTCGAGTTTAATTTGAATTGACTAAGATGAAATGTTTCGATCTAATTTCATCATTCAATCTTTCTTATGTACTTAATATTTTTAGTATAATTTTTCTTTGATTTTTATCTTTACTTAATTATCAATTATTCTATTCATACATAAGGAATTATTATCCTTCACATACATGATATATAAATCTAAAACTTTTTGACTTTGAATGTCATTAAATTCATTCTAAGTCTTACTCAAGGTTGGTCACAATGTTTGTCTCTTCTAATCTCATATAAATGCTTATTATCATGACTTAATCTCATGCTTGAAGTTCACTAGCACTTTAGGTTTATTAAATCAAAGAACGATGCATTTTTATTGAAAAACATATTGAATATATGTATCGATTCGTTTATATACTTCAATTAGTATTTTAAAAAACTTGATGCATAATAATATGTTTGAAAGTATATACTTGGATTTTGAAGACCGACGATAGTAGCATATCATATATCATGTATTTTAAAGCATAGACATCATAAAATATATCCTTTTAAGTGATGATACCATCTATTAACATGTTAGGTTAGGTGTGTTGTGTGTGTGTGGGGAAATTTGACACTAATTGATACTCTAAAAAAAAAAATTAACTACAAAAAGTGCTTATAATAGTAAGTTCTTACTTATAGATAAAATCTAGCAGATCAAACCATTCTAATGAACAGAAGCTAAAGGATTCTATTCTAACTATATTATTTATTTTATATCAGTATCTATTTTCAATTTTGTCACATGATGCATGTAAACATCATGACTTTTTGCGATATATCTATCTTTATCTTATAAATATCATCTTTTAGGTATCTATCTTTATCTGATCACGTCAGGTCAAAGACGACGATTGTTAGTTGATCTGAAACGAGGATGAATAGACGTATCCATATTTATCTGATCTCGTCAGCTCAAACACACTTTGTTAGTTGATCTAAAGTGGGGATGAACAGAAGAAGAAAAAGACAAGTGTCTATATTTATTATTCCATCACAATCATTAGTTGATCTGAAATAAAGGATGAATAGAAAATTAAAAGGAACCCAAAAAAATAAAAACCACCACGAAATGAATTTTCGACACCTCAAATTATTTCTAAAATTGCATGATTGCAAAAATAAATTAGAAATGAATTATTTCTAAAATCGCATGACTTCGCATCCCGCCGTGATTCATGTCATCGGAAACCATCATGCCATGCCGCAGGGTGACGGCCAGCTCGAATGGGGTCGCGTCGCACGTGCCGCCTTGTGCCCTCCCACGTGAACCCCACAGGTATTACGTTGGTCCAGGATAAATAATAGGTCGGCGTTTGGGTCCCCCCACACGACGAACCCAGTCGTACCCCAACCGAACCAAATGACCAGAGAGGATTCCCTGCAACGATGAGGCTTCTACCACAACCAGCCAATCCGGGCTGGGCCCCACCCTCTTCCCTCCTGTCTCGTCCGACTCACCTACTCAGCATTGCAACCACCCTTGACGCTGAGTCAGCTTTCGCACGTTTATACATTACACACTCGACGCTACTTTTGATTTCCAACGAAATTACTTATTTCTCCTTCTTAATTTATTTAGTGGTGTTTTAGCTTTCCTTTGTTGCAAAAGTAAATCCTGATGTGTGTGTTTTATTGTTAGCATTATAATCATATATATATATATATATATATATATCTCATATGGAGTGGAGTGACATGTGACATATTCATGTTATTTGGGGGAGGTAAATAAATTATGTACAAAACTCTCAAAATTTGTTGAGGATAGAAAAGTAAAAATAATTTATCGTCAAAACCAATATTTCATTCGATCTCTCTGTGCAGCTCACAACGCAAACGCAGGCAGTGGCAGTAGGTGAAGTAAGAATCAAACCTCTCTTCATTTAATGGGGGCACACACACCCTCTCCATTTCTTTATCTCTTTTACCACCTTCTTTTTATTTAGTGACAGGGAGAAGGCTTGTGGAAGAAGCTTACAAGGTGAAGGTGGGGGAAGACCGTGCCGCTGCGGTGTCTACCATTACGTTACAAGGCAAACAACGGGTGTCATTTGGTCCACTCCGCATCATTGCTATCCCACCCCTCTCTCTCTCTCTCTCTCTCTTCACCACTGCGTCGCAGCTCGAAACCCTAATCCTGAGGGCTTCGGAGTCGATCCACTGCGCGTCGCGGCCGTCACGTGCGGGGGAATGCGGACTGCTTTCCGTCTGTTTCTCCTCTGATTTCATGCTTGAACCGGAGGTGTTGGCAGGGAAGGGGGCGCCCAAGTGCCTGATCTGATGCCCCGGGTTCGCCTGGTGGGAAGCGGCGCGCGATGTCGTCGGCTCCGGCGGCCGCACCGATGTTTGAGCGCCATCGAGCTGTAGCACCCAACACCGTATGCTTGCTCTTCGTCGCTGTTTTGATCTGTGCTACTTTTCTGCTTTTTGGTTACTGCTGTTATGGTTGTTGAAGTTTTAAAGCTGTACTCCTTGCGGTGTCTGCATATGCTTCTATTCACTTAGGACCGAATAGTAGCATGCTATTATTACCATATTTTTTTACTTAGAGCAAATTTCGTCCTCGGGGAAAGTTAAGACTGTTAAATGTTACACTTTATGCCCTGTGTAATGGTATCCTTTGTGGAATTACATATCTTTCTTCTCGTTGTCTTTATAGGATTTTATCGAAAGGTAAATCTCAACAGGTTTTCCATGATAGTACATACATCTATGTTGTCATAGAGTAGTCTATTAATGCTTGCCCTATAGCTTGCTAGTCTAAGTTGGGTAACTTTTTTTGTTTATTGCTATACACACAAATAAGCAAGTTGAGATTAATAAATTCAAAGAAAAGGGAGGTACAATTGTGGTTATGCCTCCCAGGTAAGATAATTTGACTCAAGAAATTGTTAACATAATTCTGCTTAACCACAACAGAGAAAGCAAATTATAAGTGGATTACTGGATGGCTTCAGACATGCTAGCATATGCTTTCGTGGTTAGAGAGACGGTGCACCATCTTTTTTGCAATGAACCACAACATGTTGTATGAGCCATGCATGAACCTTTGCTTCTAGACCCTTTTGTAGTTGGTCTTTGAAAATTGGAAATTATTCAATAAAGTTTAATGGAGAAGATCAGCGAAGGGAGGTTGTGTGTGAGGTTCAATTAATGCATGAACATTATACTTTGCTGTTAACAGGATGCATAGTCACACGGTGAAATACTAGCATGAGTTAGAAATGTTCACGTTCATTGTGATATTGATGGATGAACCTTTTTAACAAAAGTTAGACTATGCCCTTAAAATGACTAAACAATACTTTTGAGTCCTTGAATGTGTTAAAATTCATAGTTTTAGACAAATATTGATCTGTAGTTGTATCCCAAATTGGGACTGCTCCATAAGTGGAATCTTATTTGTTGCGATGTGCATTGTCTGAGAACCTTGTGCAATAATGCATATCAGTTGAAGTTGAACTGTCATTTGTAACACTAAACACCATATATGCCTAAATGATACTGTACGTCCTAGTTGTGTAACATTGATGACTAGTAAAACTTTGAGCAAGTTCTTTTGTTTAGAACTTTCGTATTACACCACTATACATTTATCATTTTTCTTATGTCCATATATATTGGACTTTCTTAAGGAAGCTCAAATACTGTCTTTGAGACTGTAATGATTTTGATTGTTATTCTTATCTTTCTGAGTGATCTGGAAAAATTGGTATTTTGCTTTTCTGTCATTAACTTTTGATCGCCTCTGCAGGTGTTCAAAAGTGGACCACTTTTTATTTCATCTAAAGGTTAGTTATGTCCTTTTTGCGCTGATGTTGTGCTTGATGAAATTTTCTGACTGTATAGTGCATATTAATTTTTCTCATAGATATTTTTGTGGATGTCAACAATTTTAATTCAAGCAACCAAATCATCTTTGATTATTCTGATATTCTCTGTAAATTTGAAGTGCACCTCCTTATGAAGTTAGATAGAACTAATTCTGGTTCTGTTTCTTAATTAGTTATTTCATTATAAAAAATGTTAGGTTGGCAGGAATAGTAATCATGGTAATTCTGGCAGCCTTTTCAAGGCCTGCTTTTACTATGATGATAATTCAGCATCACACACTGCATCAATCCTAGGGCATTACCTAGGGCTTAAAAGCCCCAAAACCTAGACTCAAAGCAGAACACTATAAGATAAGCTCTTAATGATAATCGCTGAAATAGATTGCAAGGGCCACAAGTTTGAGTCATAGAGAAAGGGGGATAGGGAGTGAGAGGCTTGACATCATATAATGAGAGAGAGGAGCAACAAGGTAATGATCTAGGTCAATATCTTTGACGGATCAATCATGAGAGAGGTGTTACTTATCTGGTTTGTGATGATAGCTCCACTCCTCCGAGATGATTCAAATCATGAAATCTTTCCATCTCACATCGTTGAGGGTAGTTCTATTCATAATCAGGTATGAGATTGATTGGATTGATATATAGGATCATCAAGGAGCTAGGGTGGGGCTGTGGTGCTCGACCAGCTAGTATTTTACCTTGAGTAGAGAGTCACAAAGGGGCCTTGGTGATCCATCAAAGAGGGGGAGATGAGAGGGAGGTCGTGGGCGGAACAGATTCCAAGGAAGGCCTGGTTGAGTGAGCTTTGAGAGTAAGATGATGCGAAGAAGGTGATTCCATCAGATCACAGTTCAGATCGCTATTTGGTCATTGTGAATTTTTTTTTTAATTGCCTTCTTATCCTCCTACTTCAACAGTTTTATTTGTTAGTGATAATTTCTGATTTTATAATGTTTCTTCTCCTTTTCCCTGGAACTTTGATATGTATATACTGATCTGCAGGAATAGGTTGGAAGTCATGGAAGAGGCGTTGGTTTATTCTCACAAGGACATCGTTGGTTTTTTTCAAGAATGATCCTGTATGTTTGATTATTTCTACTCGATACATTTGATATTGCTTTCCATGAAATTATTTACCATATGGTTTATAAAAACTTGTTATTTCTGTTGCTTGTTGTAATGTGGTTATGTTCTAGCGTGCATTACCCCAAAGAGGTGGTGAAGTAAATCTTACTTTGGGTGGTATTGACCTAAACAATTCGGGGAGGTAAATTTTATTGTTTATGATTTTTGTACAATGATCTTTCTGTAATTCATATACATTGACATGTTTGTTCAAATTATATTTGTAGTGTGGTCGTTAGAGAAGATAAGAAGCTACTAACGGTTTTGTTTCCTGATGGACGTGATGGTCGGGCATTTACCCTTAAGGTGCTTCATTAATTATCTTCTTTCACCTTTTAGATGAATATTCCAGAAGGGTTGCCAACTCACTTTTTCTTCTTAAACAATATATCTTCATTAATCTTCATAAGCTTTTTAATTATGGGTGTCCAGGCGGAATCATTGGAGGATTTATTTGAATGGAAAACAGCTCTTGAGCATGCACTTGCACAAGCTCCAAATGCTGCTCTTGTGATGGGACACAATGGGATCTTTCGTAATGACAATGCCGATACTTTTGAAGGATCATTCGAATATTGTTCGTTCCATTGACTGCAAGCTCTCACTTTCTGTAGCATGACATAAACTAAAGAAGACCCAAATTAGTAGTAGTGTGACTCTGTCCAATTTTTTACTTCCATCCGTCGACTTACTGTTCTGCATCATGTGTAGGGAGAGACAAGCGTCCTATCAAGTCTTTGGTTGTTGGTAGGCCAATTTTGCTTGCACTTGAAGATATTGATGGGGGCCCATCCTTTTTAGAGAAAGCTTTACGGTTTCTTGAGAAGCATGGTAAGTCTCATATGATCAATATTGCAGTCAACACTCTCGTCTGTGTTTTCTGATAATGACCGAGTTTTTTTTCTGGATTATATTGCTATGCTAAGTAGTAGTAATGACTAAATTGGATATTTGTTGTACATGCCATTACCTCATGTCATTCCAAAATGCTTGGGGTCTAATGTAGAAGGTACATGCATCGCCTACAGCATGGCTGTGATTATGTATGTTAACTTAGATGTAGGATTAAGGTTTGATGTGACAAATTGTTAGAGATCTTTGGAATCATGAAATTTAATGCTTTTTGGCAGCACAGGTCCCTAATGAATGTATAGATGCATATAACAGTCTTGTACAATGTCTGTTATCTAGTGTCGCAAGGGGTTATTTTATCAAGCCGCGTCAGGATTTTACCCATGCCATTGCACTAACAACTGATCATGGATGGAACTAAATTAAAAAATGCCAACCATTTCAGCACCTAGGAATCCCTTGGGTGACATAAAGGCATGCTGCGCATGTGTAGTACGTAAGGGGTGGGCTTTGAGTACTAAGATGATTGCTTAATCCTCATGTAGAGATCCAGGTGATGGGTTTCGCTTTTCTTCTCTTGGGACTCATGCAGTACAATATTGTGTTGTAAGGTTTATATTTGCAATAAAGTCATGAGATTAATTGCATATTGCTTGTGTATCCCCTTGGTCCAAAAATTTTGTATGCATGTAGGTATTGCCAAGGCACTTCTCCCTTTCAACTGTTTGAGAAGGCAGACTTCTTTTATGTACAAAAAAGTGCCACACAGATTAGCAAAACAACACTTAAACTGTGACTGAATGGCACACAAGGAGCCTTAAAGATCATATTCATACATGGACTGTTCAAAATGTTAAAAGGAGAACTGAACAAAACATGCCACATCTGGTTCAATTTTATTCAGATTTTTTTGTTTAGTCTGGTTTACAAAATTGAAAATCAAGATATATGTTCCTGCATCCTGCTGTACTGCCTTGCTGGAAGCTTAGAACATATGACTGTTTTTCATGATATTCATGTTGTCATGCTATAGATTAATGTGGTACACGGTGTGTTAGTGAAAGCAATTCCATGCCAGTCATTTTGTTGGTATTGCATCATATTGGTGTTTGCTTGCGAGGTGGTGCATTATGGAGTGGCATGGACCAAATTGTACTGGTGCATAGCACAAATGGGTTGCTTCAGAGTTCAGATGACATTGACATGTGATGTTTTATGCTTCTATCAAACCACACACATGCTAGCAAGTGGATGGAAAATTTCTGGATAATTGTTCAATTCAACTAATAGCGATGCAAGTTTTTTACAATTTTGAAGTGGCTTCCGATGAGAAGATAGCATGTCATCTTGTTAGTGTAACACAGTTCCAACTTCCATGATTGGTTATTGAGTTGCATTGATGCTCATGTAGTTATAAACTGGATGTACAGTTAGATACACTTTGCATACTTTTTTGCACCATGAGGAATTGTGCTGATATTTTGTGGTTAATCACCATATTTTTTTTGTTGCCAAGAACTTTTTCCGATTGAATGATTATAATTTTTTCTTTGGTTTTGTACAGGATTTTTAATTTTACGACCTCCATTACTTTTCTAAATTCTCTATTTTTGACTGTATGCTTATGCCCCTCAGTTGTATGGTGAAGCAAAACCCATTCAGTCTCAGGAACATGGATATAATTTTTTGCAGTTGATGCTGATCTTTAATAGCTAGATAATCAGCTATACAAATTAAATTTGTAGGTATTAAGGTCGAGGGGATCTTGCGGCAAGCAGCTGATGTTGAGGAAGTTGATCGAAGAATCCAAGAATATGAGCAAGGTTGTGTTCTTGTATCAGTTGCATAATTTTAGTTGTGGCAGATGCGGACTGAATACATAGGATAATACAGATTAGGCATATCTAGAACTATTCTTCATTCATCTCTTTTCTTGTTCTTTTGGTACTCAATGTTATGTCCTTGAACTATACATTAGTGTTAATATTGGTTTATTAACTTTCTGTCAGGAAAGACTGAATTTGCAGCTGACGAGGATGCCCATGTTGTTGGTGATTGCGTGAAGGTACTTATGCTTCTATTCTTCTGAGTCAATACCTGAAAGAACCATAACTAACATTTATGGAACACCACAGTATGTTCTTCGGGAGCTACCGTCATCTCCAGTTCCTGCATCCTGCTGTACTGCCTTGCTGGAAGCTTATAGTATGTCCGTTTGTAGTTATCCAAATAAGTAGCTTTCGGATGATGCTGTCATTTTAAGATTTTGTTTTGGGATTGTATGATCTTTTTAATCAGTAGACAAGTATGTTAAGCTAGAAATAATTATTGGAGTGGACTTGATTTGAAATTTAGATAAGATTGTATGAGGTAGAGTTTTCCTACTGGATAAGTACTTGTGATCTAGATAAGAATGACTCATTTTTGTCTTGATGAATGCAGATGTTAGGTACACTTTTTGAGATTAAAATAGTTAATCAATAACAGTGTAGCCTAACCCATCTTTATGGTTTATACTTTATAGAATTTTTTGTGGCCATCTTGTTCTTTCTATCTTCAAGGTTCGAAGCATTAAAATATATCATTTGCAACCTATGCAATAGACTATTAGTTCTTAGTTATTAAAAATAGATTATTGACTCATAGGTAATTTTGGATTATGTTCTGCTTCCTACTCTTGCGCACCAAGCCATTGTCAACTCGTTCAGTCACAAAATCTTCATTTTATTTAGCCCCAGTAGTTGAAACAAATCAATTTGCAAAACTAATCCATTTTGATGATTTTATGCTATTTAGCTGGAACTTTTGGATTCAGTTTAGATAAATGGTCTAAATTTTACCATTTGGCTTGATCCAGTTAGTACTCAATTCGGTGTTTCGGGTTCAAGTTTGATGTTTAGTTTAACATTTTCCTACTCTTTTGATCAAATTGGTCCTATCTAGTATCTACGCATCCAGATAAGTTGGGATCAAGCTATTGTGTTCAAATATTGTCATATGCTGTGTCAATAAGTTATCTTTATCCATTATAGTGATATAATCTACCAATCTGAGAGGACTGATATAATGTTGTACTTGACATTGCATTCCTTGCCATGCTGGTAGTTTTCATAATTCTAATTGTATCCTGTTTTCTGCTGTCTAAAAAGCAATTATAGATTCCCTTGGAAACATAAGTTTTCAATAATTATTTCATACTTGTTGAAAACCTATCACTTTTAATGCCTATCTAACATTAGTACTCCGTGAAACATTCTTATGCCATGCTGGTAGTTACTGAATAACAAACTACTATGCTTCTCATGATCGTTGTTGTCATATGCTTTCTTCAATCTAGGAAATTTGTAGGTTATATATGAGCCATAGTATTTGGTTTATTTCATTTTCATATTTGCTTTGCTCATTTTTTCTGTGTTGTGTTGATTTTTTTGCCTTGATCTTATACCTGTATAGGGCTGGAACATAAGGAGGCTCGTATAAATGCTATGCGTTCTGCAATATCCGAGACATTTCCTGAACCAAATCGGAGGTTATTGCAGAGGTTGATTCTGTTTACTTTTGTGATCATCTAACTATTCCTGGATGCATAATTTTTTGTTGCTGTTCAGTGCAATTGAGCTTTACAAATTTCTTTTACGATGCTCATTGAACATGCTAGTACAGTTAAAGCTTCATTGCTTATGCTTTTCTTTTTTCTTCTCTTAGATTACACTGTACAACTTCTTAGAGACAACTTGTTAAGGGTTATTACTAGCATTTCGATACACTAGTTTGTCAATAAACTCCTGTGATGGAGTTCATGTATTGTTTATTGAAGCTTGATGTGGTCTTCAAAAACTTTGGTCTGCACTGAGTTTTGGAGGCATGGAATATCTAAATGGGATGTACATAGTCAGGGGTCATAATTTTGTGTACCGGTACAATACTTGTGAGGACTCGAATTGGTACCATACCCGTTCCTTCCAATATATCAACACTTGGTACACCATTACGTACCGAGTTTCAGAAAAAGTCTGAAGAAATACTGACAAGAAACAAAACTGCCCATTTTAGGGTTGTACCATCCTATAACAGGTGGTTCAAGCCCTACACCGGGCGTTTCTAGTGGTACAAGCCCTACTCCGAGCGTAACAGGTGGTACAACTTCTACACCTTGTGTTCCAGGTGGTACAAGGCCTATACTGCATGTACTGGGTGGTATAAGCCCTACATTGGGCGTACTGGATGGTACAAGCCCTGTACCAAGCAAACAGTTGGGCCCTGCACTGGATAGTGCAGGCCTTATATTGAGTGTACAACCCAGTTTATCCTGGTCCGTATACCAGGAGATTGTTGAGTCGGTAACGCTCATACCATTCTATACGGGGCGGTATTGTGAACCTTGTACATACTACATAGTTTAATATATTTGCCTACATTTTGCTATTATATGTGCTTAAATGAAATTTAGGATCATTTGTAGGCTTTATAGGAGGGAGTTTTCTTGGTTAGCATCATGTATGGAATGATATTTGATGAAGCATCAGTGCATGTTTCCTTATAAGCAACAGGGCATGCCGGCATGGTTTAAAGTAGCAATGCTTTGTTTAGGCCAAGTCTGCATCCATCAAATATTAGTACTGGTATAAGTACCAAGGATATGGATGATCAAAGAGATGTTAGGTTGTGCCTAAAAATGGACTCTTGTGAACATTTCTCTCCTCTTTTGATTTAATGGTTTGATGTTGAAGTAATTTTTTTTAAAGCATTTAAGAACAGAATCTTTGCATGCACTCCTTGGTTTAATTTTTTTGCTAGTCAACCTTTATGTTAACTGTAGTTATGAGTATACATCCTTCTATTTATCTGCAAAACCAAAGTTTTGCCATGCATGTTATAATAGGTGAGTTGGATAATGAACCATTTAAAGCCGTGCTTGTTCTTTTGCAGAAAACCAGAGTATGGGTCAATATGCTGGTTGTTGCCTGCTTGATGTTGTCTTTCTCCTAAATTGTGTATCTTTATTCTCATGCTACACCGGCATGTTAGTTCTAGATTGGTGCCTTTCAATTTATGGTGTCCCAAGACCATGGATAAATCATCATCAATATTATTGATCCCTTCTTGTGCAATTAATTCATCAAGTTCTTAACTGAATTCTTGATGTTTTCTTGGTTCAGATGAAACAATATTGTATACCTAAAAGGATGTGAAGAAAAAATATCTCATGCAGAAAGGAATGGGACCAAAGCATGCCATTTTATATCATACGCCTAGTAATAAATATCTACATCAAGTTTTTTAACTTCATGTTTATATATGGAAAAGAGGCACCCACTATCAGTTTTAGTACCATATTCAAGGACAAGAATTAAAATTTGATTTATAATGTACATCAACTGATGAATTTCCCAAGTCTTAGTGATATTTTGGATATACAAAGTGATAACTTTAATATGACAGAGCCATCTAACTTATTAGTCTTGCTGGCTAGCCCAGATATATGTTGGTAGTTTTCTATAGATGTGCAACAAATCTCTCAATAAACATATTTTCCAGGAGAATTTAACTGCTCCTAAATGAGTTATATTTGTTGTATCTTTATTCCCTTTTTTTTTTTTACTGAGGTAAGCGTTGAACTTTTGGACTGTGCCATGTCCTTGAGGAAAAGTTTTGGAGATCAATAAGGCAGCCAGTAGGATACTTGGTCAAAACCCAGTTTGGTGGCAACAGTTTCTCTAGGTTGGATCCTCATCAAGTGGATGATGCACATCTGCCATTGGTTACGAGAAATCTTGTAATCTTGTTACGAGTAGATTCATTAGATCGGTTCATCAATAACTAACTGTTAAATCAGAATTCTATTTTGACTTTGTGCCTTTGGTTCCATTATGATTATTTATCAATAATGAAATAATTTCTTCACAGAGGTAGGAGACATAATTCATATGGCTATAGTAAGTGTCGTTTGGACTGCTTTAATGATAGTATTTACATTTCTCCCTCTCACTCATTATAGTGAAGGAGTGGACTTGGGGGTATTACTAATTGAGTAATTAATTGTAAAAAAAACGAGTAATTGAATTGTGTCAATTGTTTAATTGATCATGTTTATGTGGTCAATTTCCTATCTGGAGTCACACTAACATGAACGATTCTGTCAACATAGGCATACACTGGTACTCCAAGACCATGTACATGCATTTGTTAATTATATTTGTAGTTGATCCTTACAAGGTGATCAGTTTGCTAATAAGAATTGGCAAGATGTGCCTGAACAGCAATTATTTGCTGCATAAACTGGGTCTTGTTATGTGTCACCCTTGTTTCTTCACATGTTTGCAACGTCAGTCACCTAGGTAAGTGCTAGATCTCCAAAGGCTGTTGTTCTGCTTTATGGTTATAAGTAACTTTGTGTTCTAGATTATTAAGTGCCAAGGTGCTTCTGCTTCATTCAATTTGGTTTATGACAGTCTTCAAGTTAGTGTTAGTTTTGATATATTAATTTGTTTACCGTACGAGCATTTGCTGATTAAATCAGCTATATATTTTTTGATTCAAAATTTTATTATCCTTCAATCTTCCATCTTTTTGGTCATTGATCGAAGTTTTGATTGCAAGATGTATAGTTAATTCTTACAATGCAAGCTTTTGTTTCTTAGGATTTTGAAAATGATGCATGTTATTGCCTCTCATACTGCTGAGAATCGGATGACTCCATCTGCTGTTGCTGCTTGCATGGCACCTCTTTTACTGAGACCACTTTTGGCTGGGGAATGTGAGCTGGATGATGACTTTGATATGAATGGTGACAATTCTGCTCAGCTTCTGGCAGCGGCAAATGCAGCTAATAATGCTCAGGCTATTATCACAACTCTCTTGGAGGAGTATGAAAGTGCATTTGATGTATGACCCTGACCTATTGTTGAGTCAAATTACTAGCATGCTATTATCTTTGTTTCAAAGTTTGATTTTTGAACTTCAAGTCAAAAATGAGAAATATGATCAGGATCAGGATCCATTAGTTGGAAAATTAGAAACAATCTGCATTGGATTGAATCAGATGGATTGGAGGATATGTATTGGGGAGATGAGTTTTGGTGGATATGAATGTATGTTTTGTAAAAATAAATTTCAAGAAACAATTAGAAAAGACAGAAATTATTATGTAAAATTTTCTTATATTCTAACATATGTCAAGAACCCAAAATTTACAGTCTCATAAATTTTGGAAATCTTTTTTGTTTTCTATTCTTTACATCACCTCATTGTTTTCCTTTCTTGAAACAAAAAATTAGGTGTCGAGATATACAAAGTTACATATCATTATGTATATGTAATGGGTAGATGTTAGGTTTCATCTGCCTGCCTTCATATTTTCAAGTCATCTCTTTTTTAACTAGGGTTTAACATTTTGGGTGTCGGATTTGTGCCACTCCCTGGCCTGCCCGGTTCGGGTCTGGTATGTGCCAGCATACCAAAACATGGTATGCCGGCATGAACTGTGGTCTATGCTACCGATCCAATAGTTCATTGGACCGGTACACATGTTTGCACTAGAACTGTTGCTTTATTCTATACCAGCTGCCTTTATTTCTTTAAAAATGTTTAGAGGCACTCAATACAGATACTTTAGGCAATTTTGCCAAGAGTGGATTTGCTGAAATAAAGATATAACTTGACCTTTTCTTCAAGTGAATTTCTTGCTCACTTCTTCCTTTGTTATCAATTTTTATGCTCTTCTATCAAACTTGTTCTTTTTCTGAGCAACAGAACTCAGAACTATATATTTCCCTGTACTTGTGAATTTTAGTGACTTTAAAATATTTGATAAACTTTACTCTGGAGATATCTAAATTTCAGATACTGTGAACATATGGATTTGTTTTCCTGTCCAATACTCTGGTATCCACTTAGAAGCATGTAACTGAGAACAACTGATCATTTATTTGCATATTATGTTTAGTTCATTTTGCTTCTGTCTAGCTAGCCATTGTTTATCGTCTTCGCCTTAACAATCTATTGTTACTTAAATAAGGTAATGGTATCTCCATTTATCCCCTTTTATTTATTTGGATATCGACTTGTCTTAATCTAGCTTTTATCTTCTTCGCAGGATTGTAATTTACGGAGATGCTCTCTCTCATCCAACTCTCAGATTGGAGACACTGGCAGTGAAGAGTCCATAGATGATGTCAATACAGATGTTAAAGATAATGGATATCATGATGCAGAAAATGATGCAGAACCTGACATGGAGGATGATGATAATGATGAACGTGTGCTTAGTGGAAAACTGAGCGAAAGCAGTGGATATGCTGGCAGTGACCTTTATGAGTGCAAGGTTTTGTTCTTGATTTATTATAATTTTTATTGCTAGACTTTTGTATATCCATGTAGCATTTATTTTCTGTTGTGTGCTTTCTTATCTTTTTATTTTCATCACTGTTCGTTTAAAGGCCGAAGCAAAAGAAACTGCTTTCTAATTTATGGTCTTTCTAATTCATGTACGTTTGTAGTTTACAACCAGAAATATATTTATTATCTGCAAGGTTTAAATACTGCTTGTTAGTACAGTTCAGTATCTATTGGTTTGACAATCAATCGGGGTGCAGTATGGAAATTGTGCCTGGTTCAGTCTGATATGGGCTATACTGCATTGCAAGTGCACTGTATCAGGTTTATCAGGCGGTGAACAGACGATTATTAAACTGTACTGGACTGTAACTGGTACCAATTTTTGGAACTTCTGATAATTTTGCTGTCCCTTCTTCTTTCTCTCTTTTTTTTTTCTCGTCTCATACCCTCTCTTTGTATTACACGTTTTGTGCAATATTTTCAAAAGGTGCTCGAGCGAAGCCAGCTGAGGCTCAAGTGCCTCGCAAAACCTCAAGGCGAGGCGTTCTGATGAAGCGTTGCCTGGGTGCTTACTTGAGCCTTGGCATCGAGCACCTCGAGTGAGCTCCCGAGTGAAGATAGGTCGAGGTTCGTGCCTAGATCAATTGAACAAGCAAGTTGGTTCAATCGAACCAACTAATCTGCCTTCGTCCATAGCTTTGTCCTCCGCCCTCATCTTCCCATACCTTCCTCCAAAGCCGTCAGTTACTCATCTTTTTAATCCGTTTTTTCTCATTTCGATTAACTTGCTGCATCATATTGAGGTGGTGCACTATTACTTAGTTAGGAGTTAGAACTGTTTAGCATCATATTGCTAATACTATTTAGCATAGATCTCCATCAGTAGAACCCTGTTTGGCGTAGGTTTCAATTGTAATATATATTTTTAAATTTTAATATTTTGGAGCGTCTTGTTTCGCTTGGGTGGGCTCATAGCACCTTGGGCATTTTGGGACCTTGGAACCTAGCATTTTGAAAAACATTGATTCTGTGTTGGTTGTAGAATAAAAGATTTTCTATGATTAAACTGAGAGATTAGCTCATTGTTGATTATTTTAAATTGCATATGTGATAGTTGATTTTCAAAAGTCATTCTAGCCTGTATCTCTATGTTAGCTTCTTCAATCATTTCAATTCTGAAACCATGAAAATTTTAATCTGTGCCTTTCTTTAATTTTTTTGATAAAACCATCTCTAACTATTTGTATTATATTAGAAGAGGTCTGTGAATAGCAAAATATGCATTTTAAGCCAAGTTTTTAGTTTGTGTCTGAGTACCATTCATTTTGTTAATATTCATGATTTCATGCTTCTCAATATGTTATTAGGGGACTAGCTTAGGAATTAGGACATTTGGTGCCTTGTTTATTCCACATCGCAGCATTCTCTTACCATGCGGCTATAGTTCCATATGGGGAACGAAGAGAGAGTGGACTTGTATAGATTTACTGACTTACAATTTAGATACATATGCTTAATCAATTTTTGCTACAGTTTGTGCCATTAATTGGTTCAGTATGTCACCAGAGTGATGTGAATAGTATAGGGCGAGGTTCTAAATACCAAGGTTCGCCGTACCGTACCGTACCGGCGTTTCGACCCGGGCTCGGTACCGGTATGGTACGGTATACTGCTACAGTG